TCTCTCTCTCTCTCTCTCTCTCTCTCTCTCTCTCTCTCTCTCTCTCTCTCTCTCTCTGAGTCAGGATCTTGCTGTACAGCCCAAGAGGGTCTTGAGCTTATGATTCTCCCACCTTAACCTCCTGGGTGCTGGCCACCCAGCTGTGTTGCCCCGCCTGTCTCCCTTTTCTTGAGAATTCTGTTCCTGTGAAAATTGTATTTGTACTTATATTTCTTGGGGAGGCAATCATAGTTACCTTCTGTGTATGTGCAGAGGTCCTCTTTTAATGATGGGGACTGAACCAGCCTTTCCCCTGTCTCCGGTGACCTTGCACTAAGGATGGGAGGATTTGATAAGCTCAGGGAAGGCCTGATTACAGTCTGTGCTTATCATCATTTTTTAGTATGCAACAAAGTTTTATTTTGATAATTTGGTTTATGTGCATAAAATTGCTATATGTGAATTATACATTTATTTCAATAACATATTAAATATCACCATAAAAATTAAAACTCTGTAATAGTATTAGAAGTATAATGGCAAAAGCCCCCTCTCATCAGGCCCTCATCTGGGTATGGAGGCTGAAGTTGACTCAGGAATAGACTGGGTGGGTGGGCGGGCAGGTGCTGCCACTTACAAACTGTGTGGTCTTTGGCAAGACACTGACCTTTCTGTTCCTCAATCTCTTAATCCATAATGTAGGGTTAGTAATGTTTTCCCTCATGGGACTGGTGTGAAGAACTTAGACGTAGTAGTGACATATAAATTCCAGATAAATTTTACCTGTTACTGTCATCATCATTATCGTTGTTATTGTACCTTTAGCATGACTGTTATCTGATTTTCTATCCAGATCTCTTAAAAATACATTTATAGTCACCTGTATGAATGTAGAGAAAGGGAAGGTACACTGAATTTTGATCTTTTTTAGTGTGTGTGATAGTAGGTCCTGAACTCATGCAATTCATGCTGAGCTACATTCGTTATTTTTAGGCAGGGTGTTGCTGAATTCCTCAGGCATGGCTTGAACTTGCAATCCTTCTGCTTCAGCCTCCAGAGTATCACCATGGTATGTGCCACTGTGCTTGCGAATAAGAATTTGGCCAGAGCTGAATGTTACCACAAACTTCCCTGGAAATAAAAATGAAACTTTTAGGGCCTGGTACAATAGCACATGTTTGTCATCCCAGCTACTCAGGAGGCTAAGACAGGAAGACTGCAAGTGTGAGGGCAGTCTAGGCAATTTATTGTCACTGTCTCCAAGTTAAAGATAAAAAGGTCTGGGAGTGTAGTATGAGGCCCTAGGTTCACTCAAAGTAGAATTTTTTCTTTTTTTTTTTTTTTTTATTGGCAGAACTGGGGATTGAACTCAGGCCCTTG